TAAAAATAAAGTGGAAAGAGTAAAAGTAGATGTTATAAGGAGAATGTTTTCTTTTTTTTTTATAATTAATCAGTATTTTTTATTATGGTTTTGTGGGGTACAGTTAAGGGTTAGGTGTACAATGACGTTTCATTCAGGCACCCTGTTGATAAGAGGTGTTTTCCCATCCCCCGACAGATATTTGCTACTGTTAATCCCATTCCCTCTCCCCCATAGTTTCCCAGTACCGTCAGTCATTTTCTTATAGTATTGAGAATGTTTTCTCTATTTATGAAGGAGTCTTTTGACATAAACAAGACAGGAACTAGATGTTTCATCAAGTGTAAGATACCAGTAAGACATCACTGATGTAAGACATCATCATTTAATGTGCCACTAGGAAAAAATGCTGCCAAATAAAATTTAGCATACTTTCTTGAAACATATTCCAATTTAAGATACGTTAAAATGTAGAAAAAAGTCATCATAGAATTGAGAAAATATATCTTTTGGTAATTAGAAATAGTAATGGGCCTCAGTACCATATTGCCATTAAAAGATATTTCCTCATTTTGTAATTACAAAAGGGTATACCATAAATATATGAGATAGAAGATTTTTTGATTTACGGGCTAAATATTAGAATTAATTTGTAGTTCCAAAAGGATTCCAGTAAGATTATTAACCATTTTAGAAGATAATCGACCTAATTAAACATCTAAGCTGTACGTTTTTTTTTTCTTTTTTAATATATATATATTTTTTGAGTCAGAGTCTAACTCTGCTGCCCAGGCTGGAGTGGATCACAACTACTGCAGCCTTGAATTGCTGGACTCAGGCAATCCTCACGCCTCAGCCTTCCAAGTAGCTGGGACTACAGGCACGCGCCACCATGCCTGGCTAATTTTTTTTTATTTACCGTAGAGCCGAAGTCTTGCCATGTTGCCCAGGCTGGTCTCCAGCCCCTGGGTTCAGGCAACCCTCTCGTCTTAGTCTCCCATAAGTGTGATTACAGGTGTGAGCCACCACTGAAAAAACTGATTTTATTTTATTTATTTTTTTTGAGTTGGAGTCTCACTCTGTCACCCGAACTGGAGTGCAGTGGCCGCTCTTGGCCACTGCAGCCTCGACCTGCTGGGCTCCGGTGATCCTTCCGCCTCAGCTACCATGCCCGGCTAATTTTTTTGATTTATTGTAGAGATGAGGTTTCACCAAGTTTCCAGGAGGGTCTCGAACCTGCGGGCTCAGGCAATCCACTCACCTAAGCCTCCCAAAGTGCGGGATTACAGGCTGAGCTACTGAGCCCGGTTGAAAAAACTGATTTTACTTTAGTTAGGAAGTTGGCCTCAGAGGAAGCAGAACTAAATGTAAAAGCTCACGAGTAAATCTTTTTCTCACTAGGGTATCTTTTATAAAATGATTTTATTGGCAAACTATAATGTTTCAACAATTTGAAAGATTTCTGCTAAATTAATATGAGGGGGAGAGACTGGAGTCTAGTATGCTTTCAGGTTCCTGGCTTGAGCAACTTAAGGTGGTGGTAATATTCACTGAGATAAGAATTGGAAGAGGAGGAGAGGGAGACTTGGAGGAAGATCAGTGTCAGCACTCATCACAATGACACTCCCACTGTCTTTTTCAGGCTGGATATGGTTTGCTGTTTTCTGTATATCAAGATGGAGATATTGAATCTGTATGTTGTTTCTCCATTAGTGAACAAAGGATCATAATTAGAGTTGGAAAAGATCTCAGAAATAATTTAGTTCTATCCACATCTTCCCGTCATTCAGCCCTCAAACCAATTCACATTCTTCCTGTGAGATGATCATCTATAGTGGTTAAATCGCTTAACCTCTCTCAGTCTTAATTTCTGCAATTGTAAAATTGAGAATAATATTACCTACCTCAGAGGATTAAATCAGATAATAAATAACTTACCATAGTTCTAGTGAGAGTTCAATAGAGAGTTCAATTGTGAAATCAATTTTAGTGTGTAGTGACCAGCAATTAAAAAAAAAATGAAATAGAATATATGCACATGTACTATTCATAAAATATTTGTTTCCATGTAAATGTGGGTATATGTTATGTTTATATGTTTATGTAGTATATAAATGTATGCATTTATCAAGTTTATTACATGCAACATATATGTGGATATATGCATATGTGTATTTGAGGTCACATGTGAAATTTATTGCTGTGGGTCAGGTGTAAACAATTTTGAGAAATACTGCAACACATATTAGCTCTTTTCTTCCTCTGCTGATTTTCTGTGTTTAAAGTCAGATCTTATTTTATTTTCTTCATTTTTTGAGTTGGAGTCTTGTTCTGTCAACCAGGCTGGAATGCAGTGGCACGCTTACAGCCACTGCAGCCTCGACCTGCTGGGCTCTAGGGATCCTTCTGCCTCAGCCTTCCAAGTAGCTGGAATTACAGGCACACACCACCATGCCCGGTTAATTTTTTGATTTACTGTAGAAATGAGGTCGTAAGTTGCCATTTATTGTAGAAATGAGGCCTCACAGTTCAAGTTGCCCGCACTGGTCTCGAACCCGTGGACTGAGGCAATCCTCCCATCTCGATCTCCCAAAGTGCTGGGATTACAGGCATAAACCACCGCACCTGGCCTGAAAACAAAAACATTTTGCAGAAATAAGTACTTTAAGGCTTTGACAAGAGTAGAGAGGTTACCACTCTTGACAAGAGTAGAGAGGTTACCACTCTTGACAAGAGTGGAGAGTATACCACTCTAGTCAAAGCCTTGAAGTATTTATCTCTGCAAAATGTTTTTGTTTTCAGGTCAGGAGCAGTGGCTACTCCTGTAATCCCAGCACTTTAGGAGGCCGAGGTGGGAGGACTGTTTGAGCCCAGGAGTTTGAGACCAGCCTAGGCAACCTAACGAGATAAAAAAATTGTAAAAAAGCCGGGCTCGGTGGCTCAGCCTGTAATCCCACGCCTTGGGGAGGCTGAGGTGAGTGGACTGTCTGAGCCCGTGGGTTCGAGACCCGCCTGAGCAACTTGGCGAGACCTCATCTCTACAATAAATAAAAAATGAGCTGGGTGTGGTAGCGCACGCCTGTAGTTCCAGCTACTTGGAAGACTGAAGCGGAAGGATTGCCAGAGCCCAGCAGGTCGAGGCTGCGGTGGCCGGGAGCGGCCACTGCACTCCGGTCTGGGTGACAGAGTGAGACTCCAACTCAAAAAAAAAAAAAAAAATTAGCCAGGTGTGATGACTACTAACTGTAGTTCCCGATACTTGGGAGGCTGAAGAAGAACCACCTGAGCTCAGGAGATTAAGGCTGTGGTAAACTGTGCTCACACCACTGCACTCCAGTCTGGGTAGACAGACTGAGACTCCGACTAAAAAAATATTTTTTCCTAGCACAGCATCTGGTTAATAGGTGCCAGATACACGTTGACAGTAACAGGAAGAGAGCCGGGCGTGGTGACTCATGCCTATAATCCCAGCACTTTGGGAGGCCGAGGTGAGAGGATTGCCTGAGCCCATGGGCTCCAGACCAGCTTGGGCAACTTGGTGACACCTCATTACAATAAAAATCAACAAAATTAGCTGGATGTGGTGGCACACGCCTGTAGTTCCAGTTACTTGGAAGGCTGAGGCAGAAGGATCATCTGAGCCCCGCAGGTCAAGGCTGTGGTGGCTGTGAGTGTGCCACTGCACTCCAGCCTGGGTGACAGAGTGAATGCAGCTCCAACTCAAAAAAAAAAGAAAAGAAAAGAAACAGGAACAAGAAATAGTATGAAAATATATAGACTGCAGTTTTTTTGTTTTTGTTTTTTTTGAGTTGAGTGTCACCCTGTCGCCCAGACTGGAGTTCAGTGGCCGCTCCCGGCCACCGCAGCCTCGCCTCCTGGGCTCTGGCAATCCTTCCGCCTCAGCCTTTCAAGTAGCCCGAATTACAGGCATGCACTACCACGCCCGGCTGATTTTTT